ACATATACCTCCTTTTCTGTATTATTTTGAAGCAAATTTGATGTGTTATTTCACTTGTAAACAATTAAACATGTAGTTTTAATTGATATAAACCTTTTTAGAAAAAAGTAACCCAAGACACCTAGATAAAGTCTATTCTTCAATTTCATAAGCTATCTACTTAGTATTTAAATTTCTGTCTCATAAATGCATGTGTGCATTTTAAAAATGTATTTCTTTGAATTAAGATTCAAATCACCTTTACATGTTGTAATTAGTTCATCTCCTAAGTCATGTGTATTCTATAGATTTCCTCCTCCCATACTCCTGTGTCTTAGGATGCTTGGAATCTGTTGAAAAGCTGAGAGCTTCATCTAGTCAATTTTGCTAATTGGCTCCCCAGGTCCGCCACCCTCTGTCTCCTGTAACTTTGTGGTTGCATCTAGAGACTTGGTCAGATCCAGGTTCTGTTATTTGTCAAAATGGCTTTCTAAATGGCTGTCTTTTTTCATAACATTCCTTACTTTATTTATTTATTTTTATTTTTATTTTTTTATATATTTTTTAATTTATTTTTTTATTATTTTTTTAAAGATTTATTTATTTATTCATATAGAACTGGGGTACAGGCCAGAGATGCGGAGGGTGAGAGGATTCACCAGAGACAGAGTGGGGAGCAGAACAGGCAGATCGATGAAGTACACTGCTGAGGGGAGCAGCGGGCGGGTCAGGAGAGGTCTGCCTCGCCATGTGGACTCCTCCGGGGCAGGCGGGAATCGAACTCATGAGGAAGTGGCTTAAGCTTCGTAGTGCTGTGCTTTAACCCGCTGCGCCACCAGGGAGGGCCCCTTACTTTATTTTTTAAAAAGATTTATGCATACAAGAACTAGGGTACAGGTCAAAGGTGCAGTGGGGGAGGAGGGTGGAAGAGGATTTACCAGAGACAGAGTGGGGAGCAGAACAGGTTGCTTGAAATACATTGCTGAGGGGAGCAGTGGGCAGCTTTGCCATGTGGGTCAGCTCCCGGGTAGGGGAATCGAACTCATGCTGCAGTGTCTGGGTACAGCCCTAGTGCTGGGCCCCTTGTGCCAACAGGAGGCCCCAGTTTAATAACATTCTATTATAATGTCATTGTGGTTCTTAAATTTTGTTGGAGCCTGTAAGACAGGGTTTTTCAACTTTGAACTGGAACATTCACAGCTACCACTTTTAATTTTGTGATTGGCTCACAGAAAATTCATTCCTCGGGACTTCTGAGTCCAGACTACTGGAGTCCCTCCCTCCCTCTTAACTGTGGTCACAGACACCCACACAAAATCAGTATTTGTTAAATAGTCATCAAGTCATTGATCATCACTGTTAATCATCACACTGTCATTGTGTATTTGGTACATGAAAAGTTGTCCTGTGTGCTATGGGAGAAGTCGGGGAAAGCTTTGCTGGAAACTGGATCTGAGCAGGGATTCGAAGGCTAGAGGTGGACAGGAAGGGGGAAACAAACTGTGTTTAACATTGACATTCTACTCCCCTATTCCCTTCTTCTTACTCCTGATTATGTGTTCTTGGGAAAAACTAGCCTCTTTTATAATATATGTTCTCAGCTTTGAGACTTGGGATGATAAAATCTATTTTAGGATGGTCATGAGGATTCACGTGAAAAGCTCATGTGTTGGTTAGAACTCTTGGTTCTAGAAACCAAGAGTTAATTAGAAATAATATAGATAATAATAAATAATAAAGAGTTGAATAGTTAATTAGAAAAAAGCATGTAATACTTTCCATGGTCAGTATTTGCGGTCCCCACCTCTGCCCCAATCCTTTCCCTTCTCTCCCCCCATAAAGCTTGAATGTTCTCTGTGTGTGCCGTTAGGTTGCCTCTTCTACCTGGCCCATGGCATCTTCCCAGCCTCACTGCCCCAGTAAGAAGCAGCTGAGGTGTCTCTCTAGGAAGTTTCTCTGACCCCTCTTTGGCCCACGCTGGCTTTGGCGTTCCCATGCCCTTCGCATCATTTGCTGCACATTTATCAAGCTGCATTACAAAGACCCGCTTCTCTCACTGACTCCCAGCCCTTCAGGACTGGCAGCTAGCTCCTAGTGTATGATTACTGAATGAAAGGAATTCATTTGCTCCATTCTTGCTCAGGCTTCTCTCTTTCCCTGTGTATACCCCTCACTCCTGTCTTTTTCAGCATGGTTTATGACTTGTGAGTGATAAGCCATTTCCTGATCTGGCCGTCAGAACTGCTCCCAGGTATTAAATTAACAGTAACACGAGCTCACATCCATGGAGCATTTGCTGTCAGTTTCAAGCACTTTGCTTGCACAAACTCCTTTATTTTTTAAATGATTTATTTATTTATGCATACAAGATCTGGAGTATGGGCCAGAGTGGGGAGGGCAGTTAAGGGGAGGCAGGTGACAGGATTTATCAGAGACAGAGTGGGGAGCAGAACAGTCAGGTCTGTTGAAGCACACTGCTGAAGGAAGTAGTGGGTCAGACAGGAGAGGTCTACTGCTCCATGTGGGTCAGCTCTCTGGCCAGGGATCAGACTCATTCTGCAGTGGCAGTGATAGCCTTTTAGCTTGATAGTGCTGTGCCTTTATACCCTACACCACCAGGGCCCCATACAAACTCCTTTAAATATTCCTTTGAACCTCCCAGGTAGCCTAAGGGCTAAGTCTCAGCTATCACTGCCCGGGCCTGAGTTGGACCCTGGGCCAGGGAGCTGACCCACATAGCACAGCAGACCTCTCCTGTCTTGCCTTCTGCTCTCCTCAGCAGTGTATCCCAGTAAACCCACCTGTTCTGCTCCCCACTGTGTCTCTGGTGAATCCTTTCAAGGTCCCCTCACCCCATCTCTGGCCTATACCCTAGTTCTTCTATACAAAAACAAAAAACTAAAACTAAACAAAAAATTATATTCCTTTGTTGCTAAATTTTTCTGCTAGAGCTTGACTTTGACCTCATGGAAGTACATAGTCCTGTTATACTACTGAGTAGCAAAGTAAATCCTGCAGTGAGACACAAGTGGTTGGATTTATATTCATTCAAATTTGGAAGATATGACTAGAAAGTGTAATAACAAGCCCTAAACATGTGATAGGAAAATGATACTATATAGATTTTTTTTTTCTTTTCATGACTCCATGACTCCATTTCAGTTAATTAAAGCCAGAAGAGCAAGTTGGAACAGGAAGTTGTATTTAAATTTCAATTTTTAGAGGTGGTTTTGAAAGACTTACAAAAACAGGGCTATCAGGCCTTCCCTGGTGACACAAAGGGTTAAAGCTCAACACTATGAAGCCCTTGCAACCACTACAGCACCAATTTGATCCCCTACCAGGGATGTGACCCACATGGCGTAGCAGACCTCTCCTGTCCTGCCAGCTGCTCCCCTCAGCAGTCAAGCTGCCTGTTCTGCTCTCCATTCTGTCTCTGGTGAAGCCTCTTACCTCCTGTAACTCTGGCCTGTACCTCAGTTCTTGTATGCATAAGTAAATAAATCTTAAAAAAAAAAAAAAGAAAAAAAAAGAAACAGGGATCTCAAAATGAAAAGAGGTGGGGGAGATTGTCATTGTTTTTCCAAAAGAGAATAGAACACTGGCAAAGAAGATAGATTTGTGAAACTTAGTCTGGGAATTCACCTTTCAGTGAATCCTTTTTGGCTGAGAAGGAAAATTTTTTTGTACTTAGTTGGAAATGAGGAGAAGGGTTATTTTACCAGAGGATGGAAGCAGCTGGCAGATGGCACCAGGTCTTGGTGGCAGAGCTAAGAGACACCACTTATCACCTGCTAATTTTTGTCAGGTTACTTAATCTTCAGTTTTCTTAGCCTTTTATGGGGGTTGTGTTGCCTAATTATTCATTGCCTTTCTGAAGTTGGGTTTTCCATATTTTACCTTGCTACCCAAAATGGGAAGGGGTGTGAAGGAGGGGTACAGAAGTTGTTATCTGTAGGAGTGTTGTGAACATAAAATAATCCTTCACTTAAGGATTTCTACAACTTGTGCCTAGTAAAGACCTGAAAAAAGAAAGATGCTATTAGTACAATAGTTATTATTAATAAAGGCCTTTCCTTCCCTTCATCTCTCCTTCCTCCCTTCACTGGTTAGTGGGCCCTACTACATTAATAGGCCATTCCCAGGAAAAGGGGAGATTCCAGGTTCCCTGCCCCACCCAGAAGGAGGGTGGAGCTGAGCAGAGAAGTATCTGGAGAGGAGACTGAGGAGGAAGGAAGAAGGATGGAGAGCCAGAAGGAGACCTGAGGGAGGCACAGGGAACAGAGAGACATGTGAGGAAGCAGCTCTTGTTTCTTGGTCCTGGACTGGTCGAAACAGATGTGGGGGAGAGACGTGGGAGGTTGACTATGGCAGCGTTTATCTTGACTTTGATTTTGCTCTTTTCCTCCCAGACTTGTCTGGCCATGTCTGACCCTTTTCTATGGGTCCCAGCCAGAAGGTGCTTTAAGTTTGTGGTGGGCTTTCAGGCGTTGCTTTGGGCCAATCCCTTCTGGGTGGACTTTTACCCACAAGGGGATGGGTAAATTTGGGTGTTTGATTTAGAAACTATGTTCTTTGTCTTTTCTGTATTGTACACTAATTATATTAAAGCTCCTTTCTGGACTAGGGGAGAAAATAATAATGAACAGCTATATACCAGAGACATTTTATTGGGGTGGAGTGGGGAATGGGATCAAAAACGGCAGGGTGCGGGGGAAGGAAAATGCACTGGACTATGGTGATGGCACATGGGTGATTTGGTGATGGGAAGCCCAAGGGGATTACCACTGAGATGGAAAAATGCACAAATGATGTAAAATTAAACTATTATTTTAAAAAATGCTCCTTTCCATTAAAGGCCTTACATATTTTGTCTTGATGCAGGGATTGCAGAATCTATTTAGAGTGGGCAAGTTTGGGAGTTCTGGGGTGCCCCTCTCCCTGCCCTGTAAAACTAGTAGTTGAGGGTGTAACTACCCAATGTGTAGAGATCTGTCACCTAGTTTCAGTATTTCTTTCAGAGGGAGTCACTCTGTGAAACAGTGGATTCAGAGTGGCTGTGTGAGGAGGCACATCAGGAGCCTTCTAGGACGCCATCTTGGACGGACGTCAGGATCACGCTGTCTCTCCAGCGCCTCCCTGAAAGCTCATCAGCAGCAGCAACAACAGCAGCAGCAACAGCAGCAGCAACAGCAGCAAAGTCTTGGTCTTCAGAAGTCTTTCATGTGTTGTGCATTTTAAATATTATCCTATTGTGCTGAGCAAAACAAAGCACTGAAGTGGCGTTTGTCTCTTCAGCAGAGACTCAGCCTAGCCAGCTGCCCCCACACGGAAAGGTCTGTAAATGGTAATTTTCTCAACAGGGAGCTCTTGGGGTAAAGCATTCTCACTCAGAGTTACGGGAAGGTGAATAATAATTAAGGTCTGGGGAGAAGATTTAGAATTACAGTAGTACATGGAGGAGAGGGGAGAATTAGTAAATGATATGCTTATTTAATAACATGAAAGATTTTCTTTAAGAATTTGTTACCTAGGATACCGTTAAAGAAAAAATTATTCAGTGACACTAGCGATAGATGGCAGGCAAACTTGACTTAGGCCCATTCTGATAACCATAGGTCATACGTTGATGGAGTTTTATGGGAAAGGAGGGGGGATTGGTTTTTGCTATGAATACAGCATGGACAAGTGGGAATTAATCGCCAAGGTTCAGGGTGGGGGCCAGAGGATGGAAAATTACTGAGAGGAATTCTGGTTAAACCTACCTAACAGGATTCTTGATGAAGAAAGAGCAGGTGATCAGACATTATCTGGGTGATGCTGGAAGTTGAGGAACCAAATATTAAGGGTGATCACAAGGGTGGGTTGGGGAACGGGGCTTGTGATTAAACTGACTTGGCAGGTTAGGCTTATGCTAAGAACTAAATTTTATAAGGAAATAGAGCAGTGGCCCCAAATAATTTCTGATTAATTGGACCAAACTGACTAATATATGGTCAAACAAAGCTTAAATTGAATTTTGTGTTAGTCAAAATTATCTGTTTGTGATCTTAGTTATTTATTTTCTTTTTAAGTGGAGGGAAAACATTTTGTTTACTGAAAATTACGTGGTTCTATTAAAACTAGTAGTGGTGCGTCTGGCAAAGAAAGAAGTCTCTACTGCCACCTGGTGGCCACATATTCTTATTGCATGTGCCCAAGAGACTCCTTAGAGGAAAGTCGGCACTTTTCCTCCAATTCCCCCTCTTGAGATTTGAGCATTAGCAGCTGGCTAAGAAAGACAGAGCAGGGAAAGCGGCAAAGTTCATACCCTCCCTCTTGCTACTGTGATGTAAAAGGCTGGAGAGGTTAGCTCTGCATTGAGTGAAGTACTATTGTGTTGGACTAGTTGAGTTAGAGCCTCTTTTTTTTTTTTTTTT